ACGTGAGTGAGGAAATTCGAGTAGTTTTGACCCAGAAAGCGAAATTTAAATATCACACACTTAGGTGCAAGATTATGCCATAATTCCATGTTTTCCGTCCCGTTTTTGCTCATATCTCGGAGGCAAAATGAGCAAGACCGCTCATTTGTACATCATTCTAGAGAGAAATAAATGGCCTTTTTAGAAAGTGAACCATGGATGGGGAAATGTTGGCAGTTTTCTCAAAAAATGCTTGAATTCAAAAAGTTTTAGATTTGCGTGGTTTTTTTTGAGTTGCAAAATCCACTTGAACATGACGCTGCTTTTTTCGAAGCGAAAAATCAGGTGCTTCCATGTATAAAAAATTTGGCATGAAAAACCGCTAGTACAAACAAAAATTGACTGGTTGGAGCTTTTTCTAGGAACCAGTGGGATGAATTTAGACCTAATCGCGTCTGAGACTCACTGTGTATTGATCCATACAGGGTGTTTTGGAATGAAACGCTCGCCTCATCCTTTTATTTTAATCGTTCAAAACACTATTACAAAAATAGCCTAAGCCCTAAAGAGTAGGAAAATAGTCGGCCGTTTACTGCCGATCACACTATCATTTAGATCAGACAACACAACATCAACACTCTTAGCAAATCAACCAATCAATGCACGACAATACGGGAAAAGTGATGTTTGGTGTGAATAAATCAGATGTGCCCAATAGTCCAGCCACCGAACTTAATGCTACCGAAACTAGTATCTACACGAATATACAGGGTGTTTTGCTCCAATAACCACGACCAACCAGTGGATTTTTTCAGACTTATATGTACCGTGATATCACTATGGGATCACTATCGCCTATGCACACTTGTTCAAGGGCCCATTGAGGGCCAATTTATCCCGATTGGACTAGCAGGATCCCACCAGTTTCGCAGCATTAGGCGGTGTTTGAAAACCAGTCGTACACAGAGGATTGGTAGGCTTTGTACGGATGGCCAGGGCAGGAGTAGAGCATGTTTTGGCCGAAAGTGGTCAGCGATTGGCCGAGGCCGCCGCCAATCATCTGCAAGTTGTTGACGGGACTCAGCTCACGCAGCTGATGATTGGGCGACATTTGACAGTTGGGTAGCTGATGCCCGCCCATGTTCGGCTGCTCGACTTGGCCGCCCGTTTCTCTGCTGCTTGAACTGCTATCTGCAAATTGACAGTGTTTCAGTAGATTACAGAGCAAAACTGATACGCAATGAAGCAAGCGATTGGATCATAATATTAAAATTAAGAAACTTGGACCTTGATACCCGATTAAATAGCAATTTAGATAACAACCCCCTATAAATGCCGCTACCCAGCAGACAGACTTCAGACTTAATTTTCATTCATAAGCCGACTGTTGTTGCTACTATATTATAAACACTCACTTTGTAAATTGTATTAATTAAAAACTGTTTTAAAAAGTTGATTTTAATACCAACTTATTTAATTTTAATGTGGATTGCAGCAAAGCGCCAAAGCATCAGCAGCCTGCTAATTGGCGATGGTAACCGAATCGCCAGTATGGTAATTTGCGTTATCCAATCGAATGGGGGCATTTGCAGGCGAAAAAATCAATCAGCGAGCGATTGGACGGTTGGGCAAGACTGGCGGTTTTTAGACCAGGCGCAAAAAATGGCCGATTACTACAAACGGCAACAATAATGGAAATAGAAAGTCGTCGACAATAAAAATGACATAATTAATGTCCATTGAGCGGTTTTGAATGAACGATAAACGGCCATTGTATCTGGCCACGGTCCAGTGCCGATCTTGCCATTGTTGTTGGTGAAACGCAACGTGTATTCTTGCCTACAGTGGCAGAAAAACGAACATTCAGGCCAACAATGGCCAAAGAAAGAACACGCCAGTGTTTTACTCGCTATCTGGTTAATCAGGTAGTGGATGAATTTTTCCACGGGATTTTAGATGACTAAACAAATAAAGTTGGCTGGAAATAAAATTTTCGAACTGTGCCCCGCTCGCAACCCCGAAAATTTAAGCAGCAAAGGTATCAAGTTGGAACGCATCAATGCGCTGACTATTTGCATCTCTCCTAGAATCCCAGGCGTGCGAGTGAGATGAGCGATGCCAGGTACGTTCCCGGATGGGAAACGGAGTTTTATTCAATTGGTTCGGAACACAGTTGTTCGCATTTGAAGCAAGCACACCCTTTGAAGAGCCGTTAGTCTGCCGATCTTGAACTATCGGGATGATTTTGCTGCCATTATCAACAAACGGCTGAAGAAGACTGCCGCATTATTAGGAAACACCCTGTATAAAGGCGCCGCGTATATTAAGCCCGTGATCAAGAGAATACAAGCGCGAATCGCACGAACTCGGGATGATTCGAACGATAATTTGCGGTATTAAGTGAGGTTCAATGGATTTGTTCAAGTCTTAAGGGGTTTTAAGGAACATTTCGAGTCAAATCGATGATATTTCAGTTTGGGGTCGTAGTCGATAGGAATTTGGTCCCGACGTTTCGCTAGCACGCATGGTTGGCGTCCTCAGAAGTTTGGGTGGCACCGCAGCAAAGCGTCAGGGCCAGATTCCCAACAACGACGGCTTAATAACGCAAAAATCGCCGAATTGTTTCATAATTTCTTCGCGAGACTTGGAAATTACATTCTTATCTTTCCTGGGTCTCAGTCAAAGTGTGAAGTAAACATTTTTAAATATCGTTTATTTCATTACGTTTCGGCGAGCCAACAGCGCCATCATCAGATTTAAAATTTACACAAACTCATAATTGGTAAACATTAACGTTCTTTTAGGTCTTTGCCTTCTTGAAACCTTAAATTTGTCTGAATTATTTTCTACATTTGCCTTAAGTTCCATCAAATCATAAAACCTTGGGAAGTTTCAGTGCTACTAGAGGGAATTTAAATTGAAAGTTTTTGCACTTTTAATCCGCTCTGAAAAGGCATGATGACGGAACAACCGAGAATATTTGTATGAGCTTCGGCGCCTAAATCCGCCTCTAAATGATTATTAAAAATTGCTTGGCAGCTGTCGCCTTCATTGCCTAAAGTCCCCGAACAATTCTCAAACTTTTGTGTAAGTTGTCTTTTTCCGTTGCTAATAAAGGAAATGGTGTGACTTTTTCCGATATTTCTCCTCAAAATTCTTCTGCTCTGATTAACAGATCCTAGTTTTCTTTGATAGTTTTGTTTTTTTTTTCGACTATAATTTGCTCTTTAAATCCTTACAGTACGCCGTCTATTAATTAGGATTAATTTTGTTCGATACACCGACAATAAGCAACATATTAATCAGATCGATAACAATACACCTGAACAGATCGGCAATTTAGGGCGATATATCAGCGACAATTAGGGAAAGTGTAATTTATTGTTTGAAGCCGGCCGAATTAATATAATGCGGAATAGCTGTAAAGTGAAATTGTTGCCGATTTATCAAATCAAGCAGAAATGAATGCGCCTTCCAGCATCGTATTAAGTTGATGAATGATGCCAATTTTCAATCTCTACGTGAAAAATGATATATTTTGCAAGCCCGCGACTGGTTGATTGAGGATTACACACTAATTGATTTTGAGTTGTTCTGGAAAATAATTTGATTTTGGGCACTTAAATAAAGACCACTAATAGCATTTCTTCCCTAGCTGTAATTTATCATTTTCATTTATTTATCTGAAAATAGCTCAACATTTTCGGCACACAAAAAAAAACTCTGAATGATCTTCTTGTAGACAAAGTTCACGACAGCTTAGAAAAACAATTGTAAAAATGCGTTTCAATTATTCAGATTGTCGCCCAGCAAATTCGATTTTCCGGTAATGACCCCTTTGCAGGAAATTGGAATTACAATGCAGCGAATCAGCGGAAAATCTCACTTTTGATGCTGTTACGGAATCATGCTGAAACAGAGCAGTTGGATTAGAATTTAAGTATTCATTTCTACTTAAATATTAGAACTCAGCACTTATATGTAGATATAGAAAATAGTGGCTTTGTTTTCCATTCTCGGTAGAAACATTTTGCCCACATTAGTTGCGCTAGTTTCAATTTCTAACATACAATGTTTGAAAATGTTCACTAAGTTTCTTAAAAAATGTCCTTTCAGGTCGAAGAAACCGATGGATTTGATGGAAATCAGGTTACTCGTATTCTCTATGGCTCTATAGCTGACACGTTTTATGTATGGCTGTCAAGAACAGCTATTCTCTAAACTGTGCTAATACAGCATTATTCTAAATGGATTGGATTTATCTTGAGCTGCGATTCACTTCTATGGAAATCTTAGCAGTGCTCGATTTTCCATAAGTTGTCCCTTCGTTTGCGCCATTCTACTAATATTAATTTCTCCCCAAAAAGAGGTTCTTGTTTCCTTGCCGGAGCCGGAAACTTGGTAAAGAAGAAATCATTACGTTGAAAGAACAGCACATTTTAAGCAATACCGATTTAATTAAATGTTTCTGCTCCTATCCACCTACCTACCTAGCGGGATTTCCATGCATGGAAGGCAAAGTTTTACCAAAGAGAGTCATCGTGGCGTTATTTTACTTTTAAACTTTGGCCAAGAATGCAGGAGCGGATCCAGCTTTGGAAATTCAGATAGCAAAATTTGAATATCAGACACTTAGGTGCAAGATTATACCAAAAATTTCATGTTTTTCGTGCGATTTTTGCTCGTTTCTTGGAAGCAAAATGAGCAAGAACGCTCATGTTTACATCATTCCAGACAGAACTAAATGATCTGTTCAGAAAGTAAACCAGCGATAGGGAAATGTTGGCAGTTTTCTCAAAAAAGTCTTGATTTCAGGAAGTTTTAGATTTGCGTGATTTTATTTTAGTTGCAAAATCGACTCAAACACGACGCTGCTTTTTTTCCAATTTCTCGAGCCACATTTGAGCCACAAAAATCGTTTTGGCATCGTTGGATAGAGAATTGAAAATTCAATCCAGACATCACAACATGAGTGAGGAAATTCAAGGTGCTTTTAACTTAGGTGTAAGATTATGCCAAAAATTTCATGTTTTCCGTCCCGTTTTTGCTCGTTTCTTGGAAGCAAAATGACCAAGAACGCTCATTTTTACATCATTCCAGACAGAACTAAATGGTCTGTTCAGAAAGTAAACCATCGATAAGGAAATATTGGCAGTTTTCTCAAAAAAGTCTTGATTTCAAGAAGTTTTAGATTTGTGTGTTTTTTTTTTTAGTTGCAAAATCGACTCAAACACAACGCTGCTTTTTTCGAAATTTCTGGAGCCCTATCTGAGCCACGAAAATCGTTTTGGCATCGTTGGATAGAGAATTGAAAATCCATTCCATTCATAACAACATGAGTGAGGAATTTTAAGAAGTTTCGACTCAGATATCGAAATTTCAATATAAGACACTTAGGTGTAAGATTATGCCAAAAATTTCATGTTTACCGTCCCGTTTTTGCTCATTTCTTGAAAGCAGAATGACCAAGAACGCTAATTTTTACATCATTCCCAAGAGAACTAAATGGTCTGTTAAGAAAGTAAACCATCGATAAGGAAATGTTGGCAGTTTTCTCAAAAAAGTCTTGATTTCAGGAAGTTTCAGATTTGTGTGTTTTTTTTTAGTTGCAAAATCAGCTCAGACACGACGCTGCCTTTTTATAAATTTCTCGAGCCCCATTTGAGCCACAAAAATCGTTTTGGCATCGTTGGATAGAGAATTGAAAATCCGATCCAGTCATAACAATATGAGTGAGGAAATTCGAGAAATTTCGACTCAAAAATCGAAATTTCAATATAAGACACTTAGGTGTAAGATTATGCCAAATATTTCATGTTTTCCGTCCCGTTTTTGCTCATTCCTCGTAAGCAAAATGAACAATAACGCTAATTTTTACATCATTCCAGACAGAACTAAATGGTCTGTTCAGAAAGTAAACCATCGATAAGGAAATGTTGGCAGTTTTCTCAAAAAGTCTTGATTTCAGGAAGTTTTAAATTTGCGTGTTTTTTTTTCGTTGCAAAATCAGCTCAAACACGACGCTTCTTTTTTCGAAATTCGTCGAGCCCGATTTGAGCCACAAAAATCGTTTTGGCATCGTTGGAAAGAAAATTGAAAATCCACTCCAGACATAACATCATGAGTGAGGAAATTCGAGAAGTTTCGCCTCGAAATTCCAATATAAGACAATTAGGTGGAAGATTATGCCA